AAAATTATAAATTTAAGGAGGACAAAACAGGTTTAGGTCTTATATTTAAGATTAAATCTAATTCTAAGTAGCTTTTATATTAAATTCTGAGCGTAGTTATTCAAATCTCTATAAACTTGACACGTTACGCCAATATATATAGATACAGTCTAGTTGAAATGGAAGCTTTCACTTGGTATTCTTCTGGCGAAGGCCAAATTTACCGAGGATGAAGCTCAGCTATGCACGCGGGCTTCATTTATTGAGGGTTCAGCAGAGTTTCTTCCTCTTTCAGCTGATCTTGTCGCCTCTGATGGACTATAATCCGACGTGTTCATCTCTGGTAAGCTTCTGTTAATCATAAATGGAGGTTCCGACGGCATTAGTGCAACTGAGGCCATTGTTGGCCTGTCAGTTACATTTTCTTGAACAATGCAGATGCATCTCATTATTTCATTGATTGATGTGATGTTTAACATAGGATCTATTATATTTGAGTCTGTCCCTTCCCTCCAATTTTCCCATGCCTGCAGGAATTTCATCATCATCAAAAGTAAGTAATTTTAGTACGCAATTTTGCTATTTCATGATGTGTGTGTGTGTATGTGTGAGCCCAGCAGTGCATGTGTGTTAGATTTTGTACATTTTCTCCATCAAAGATGCTGTTGTTCTTCTTCCCACTTACAATCTCTAGTATTAGCACACTAAAACTAAAGACATCTGATTTAATTGAGAATTGGTCATGCATTACGTACTCTGAGTCATACACCCATTGCATGTCATCAATATCAGCAACTTTAATTACAAATGAGCTCTTCTTCTTATCTTATTGATGATCTCCAAGTTTCTTTCTTATTGATAACTTGTTTGACATCTAGCTACCATACTTAATAGGTTCTAACAATTCTATTAGCGTTATTTTGAGTTTGATCCACAACAAATAATTTTGTCATGCCAAAATGGGATATCTTGATATTCAACTTTTCATCTAAAAAAATATTACTTGTTTTGAGAATTCACATCTTCAATAGTTTTGTAAATGGTGCTCAACAGCAAACTTATGAAGTGAATCTCCTCTCGCAGCTTGATTCTGACATGACACGATATGCGGTTCGAATATCGTAGAAAGCATTCATCATAGCCTCCCATTGCCTCCTTCTGATTCGGACATGATTCTGGGACAAGAATTGAGGCACTCTTAAGGCAACTACGGCATTCGTCTGGTCTAACATTTCAAACTAAGGGTTTGAACGGGTCCAGCCGGGCAATTGGGTTGACTTGGCCCCAAAAAAAAAAAACTCGTCCCATTGCTTAAGGCAGGTAGAAGCTGAGAGTGGAGATTCACTTCGTAAATTTGCTGCAGCAAATGAATCTGCTGCAAACTTCCAAACTGTGTTTGGTGCAGCTCAGTGCACTCCTGATTTGTCTCAGCGAGATTGCTCAAACTGCTTGACGTTGGCTATTTCAGAAGTTCCAAGTTGTTGTTCGTCGAAGACAGGTGGTAGGATTATCAAACGCAGCTGCAATATTAGGGATGAGAATTATCGGTTCTGCAATCTCGTGGTGGCTGGGGATTCGCCATGACAAGCATCTCCTCCCAAAGGTAATTAATTAGTCTCCAACGAGATGCTTCCCTTAGTACGCTCTTGCTTTTCAATTTCCAGTAGTCTCATAGCAGTTACTAGTCATTTCATACTATAGACTTTTTGAATGCATTCAACACACCTTCAGTGATCAAACTTCTAACTAGATACTTAAGGAATCCTACTAAGTGCCAAATGTATTAGGCCTCGTGTTTTGATTCACTTTTTTTTGGTGTCTTCCATCTTAAAATAAACGCTATTACACACAATAAAAACAATTTCGGACGGTAAAATTGTAAAATGTGACGATTAATTAGTCATGTAAATTAAGCTTTGACCTCGTAGATTGAATATAGACAACTTATATTTTTATAATGTTATAGCAAGCACCGTAGTGTTACTGAAGCAGTAACAGAGAATGAAGGAAATGTGATAATTTTGAAGTAGCGTCTATAAATTTCTCCACTCCCATGAATAATTCAACTTTTAAATATCTCTATGACGAAGTGTATTTCCTTATATTATAAGTGTATTTCCTTATATTATAAATAATATATAAATTTTCTAAGTATCATAGGGGTTGCTGATTCACCAAATTAAAAGCTTCACCATCCTCAGAAGGTACTGCTATCTAAGCATTATGGTTTGATATGTTTTTTTCTACTATAGACATCAAAATAAGTTGAAAAAAAAAATATTTTATACAATTTAACATACACATAAATATGTTAACACTAGATTTAAACACGAGACCATTATGGTCTCATTATCCACGCATGGTGGGAGATATTACTAATTGAAACAACGTGCCACTGACATGAAAAAAAATTATTAAGAAGAAAAATTTAACATTAGTAACATTGTTTTTAAGGTTGTCTTGGATCAAAGAGCATATGTTCTTCAACACTATGAGCGTGCTTGCATTTTCAGGAAGCTTAAAGGGATGATATGAAAACTTAAGAACTCAACGTATAGTTCTATAATTAATAATGTCTATGACATTGCTGATTAATTATTAGTTATTAATATTATATTATCAATAATAAATCAATTTTTGATGTCGTATGTAGGAAGTGCGCATGCTGACTCACCAAAAGCGTCATCTTCCTTAGAAGGTACGAATTCCAACCCAAGTAATATGGTTTGGCACGTTTTTCACATCAAAATTGGAAAACTAAACATTGCCAATTCTTTTCTCCCGGACATAAAGATAATAATAGCCACTGGCTCATGCTTCTCAATAAAAGTCTTGATGGCTTAATTGTTATTTGATGACTATGGTCGTTGGATTAATTTGGATTCTACTTCTAACTTCATTCCATTTATATACCACTGTGATCTTTTTTATTTGTTATTTGTAGGAGTTTCTTATATACTAAGGAGAGTATTAAATAGATAAAATCTTTCACTTTTTCTCTTATTAAATAGGTAGTATTTTCTCTCTCACATATTTCCTCTCTCTTCATCTTTACAATTAATCAATATGGACAAAATTAAAAATAAAGCATTAAAAAAGATACAAGTGACAAATAATAAGAACCAAAGTGGTATGTTGGACCCTTCCATTTTCATTCAAGGGCAAAGCGTTATTGATAATATCATTATAGCTCAAGAAACTGTTCACTCCATGAGAAAAAAGCGAGGTAAAGAAGGGTGGATGGCCACAAAAATAGATCTCGAAAATGCTTTTGACAGATTAAGATGGGATTTCATTGAGGACACACTGCGGGATGTTGGTTTGCCTGATGCTATGGTTAAGCTAATTATGAATTGTATCACATCTCCTACCATGCAGGTCTTTTGGAATGGTAAACCTTCAACCCCTTTTGTTCCTATGAGGGGAATTAGATAAGGTGATTCTTTGTCACCCTATATCTTTGTGCTTTGCATGGAACGTCTTTCACAAGCTATCACAGCTGAAGTGAACAAAGGGTATGGAAAACTATCAAAATGGGGCGTAATGGCGTGCCTCTTTCACACTTATTCTTTATCGATGACTTAATCATTTTTGGTCACACCACATCTACTCAATTGGTTGTAATTAAACAAATTCTACAAGATTTTTGTGAGTCTTCTGGGCATAAGATTAGTCAATCCAAGACTAAAATATATTTCTCTAATAATGTTCATTAAAGCATCAGAAGGCATATTTGTACCAAACTAGGCTATAATCAAACCGAATCACTTGGCAAGTATCTAGGTGTACCTTTGATTACTGGGAGTTCTTTAAGCACTTATAGATATATTCTTGAAAGAGTTCATTCCAAGCTTGTTGGATGGAGAAGTCAATCCCTCTCTCTCGCTGGTCGCATCACTTTGGCCAAGTTCATTCTTTCTTCTGTTCTTTTCTATGCTTGCAAAGTACTTTGCTTCTTGCTTCTTGTTGCAACGAAATTGAAAAAATTATAAGGAAATTTATTCTATGGATGAGGATTAGATGGTATTTATGTCTTTGCATATTTTTATAGAAATGACAATTTTTAATCAAGATAAATTACCTAAATTTCAATTTGGTCGTATAAACTTAACAAATCTCTAATAAGATCATAGGATTTTTAAATATTGTGTCTTTTACCAAATTACTTTTCCTTTAGTTTTCTTTCTAAATTGCCTCTATTGGCAATCCGGCGCCACTGCCACCACCAATAATCGAAGTCCCGACAATCCGCCGATGTTGGAGTTTCGGTCACTAGAGCTCCTGCCATCATTAGTTCACTGAAACTTTGACCGCAAGTAGGGTAGCCTTTTTTTTTTGTCCCCCCCCCCCCCCCAAATACAAGAAAGGGCGAGGAGCAACGTTGAAAAATAAAAGTACAAGATTCTCAAATTCCAAATTGATCCTCATGATTCAGTTAGAGGTTTGTTGAATTTGATGGACCAATTAGCTTGGAATTTGAGCATTTTGGTTGGATTTAAATGTGGGATTTTTCATATTTTTATTTCCTTATTTTTTGAATTAAAGGATAGCACTAATGGTTTTTCCCCCCCTTTTTTATGAGAAGTATTACCTCTAGTCTTTAATATAAAATTTTGTTTGACTTTTATTTTAATCATAAATATAAAATTCCAATATACTTTATCTTTTATATTTATGTATTTTTTTCTTAAGGTACTTCTTCTAATAATAATAGTTCTAACCAATACACTTGATTAATAAAGATATTTTTAAAAAAATAATACTTATTTATTATAAATAATTAATTTAACTTACTTTTTTAATCTCTTTAAATTAGCACTAACAGTTTAAGATTGAAAAGTTCCCAAAAAACAACAAGAAGCTCTTAATTTAAGAAAAGTTGAAAATTACCCTGTGGCGACGTCATATTGACGGAACGAGGAGAAACTAGCAGTGCCAGTGCCGGTGCAGGTACTGAAATTGGTACATCCGCCGTAGCTTCATAGAATCTGTAACTTTCAAATCTGATATTGCAGCTCGGTTTAAAAACCCTGGCCTCGTACGCTACCATTACAACATTCTGGGATTTTCGGGATAGCCCCGTCCAAGCAATTACGACACTCCGAGTCATCCAAATCAGGCATGCACTGAACAACGCCGTATATCTTCCTCCCACTGGATCCTGCTTCAGTGTTCCCGGCGGCGAATTTCCGGCGAAAATCACCGGACGCTGCTTTCCCACTCAGACTTCCAAGTAAGCCATTCACAACTAGCTTATACTCATCCCAATTTTTTATATTTTCCCTCACGCTCCTATTGTAGATAGTGAAATCCAGAGTGGGGACGAGACCGAATATAAAATATCCTGAGTAGAACAATAGGCACTCGTCGTGTATTGAAATTGCGGTGCTGTAATTATAACAGGAATGCGTGGCGGTGGTGGAGTTTCTGATGCAGTTACGGCAGGTGGTCGGAGTAACGTCTGCTCGGCAGAGTCCGATTGCGTTGACTGTGTCTGGGGATCGACCGTAAGAGAGATTGTAGAAGCCGTAATGGACGTTAGGGCTTGAAGTGATTTTGGATAGTAGGATGTTGAGGTTGAACTGGTAGGTGCTGTTTGGCGCATAGGTTCCAAAGGAAGTGAAGCAGTAATCAGAGAAATGAGAATGGAGAAGAAGAAGAGCATGAAAGGAAATGGGTCTCACAGAATCAATAGCCATTGGGTGGTCTGTAACTTGGCTGAGGAGACTGTGTTAGTCAGCGTATGAAATGGAAGAGTCTCAACGGAAGGAGATATATAAAGCTCGTTTCGCTTTCAGTTTTCAAGACAGCTTTTCGTTTTAAAAAACTAAACAAAAAAATAAAAATAAAACATGTTCGAAAATGTATTTTTGGTTGTGTTAAAAATAAAAAAGTTAAAATTTATTTTTAAAAAAGAAAAAAAAGTCAGAACATCTTTTTTATATTTTGTTTTACGAAATTAGATAGGAGGGGAGAAGTTGCTCCCAAAAAAAAAAAAAGACAAGAGGGGAGAATAATATTATATTTTCAATCATAATCATGCTAATCAAAAGATATTATTTCACATTTCATTTTAACATTTTATAAAAGCATTATGATAATTATACTTAAAAAAGCATAAGCAAGTTTAAACTCTGAAAATTTGATCTAAACAAAAATGTAGTTAAAAAAAATCTATTTTATAATAATTGTCCGTCCAAATCAAATTTTAACATCCTAAATTTATTTATATATTAATGCATGTAAAATTATAATAATATTTTTATAAAATGTTACATCTGTACGAGTAAAATTTTAATTCAATAGTGTGAAAGAAAAAGGGGAGAGGATCCATTCTTTTTCCTTGCGTTTATTTTGGTTCAGAAAAAATTAGAGAAGAAGAATGCGAGGACGCTGAGAAGAAGAATATGAAAGTCCATCTTCATATGACTAATTCATCATTTTTTATGTTATTTCTATTTCTAAAAATCAGTACAAGAAAAAATTCTCTTCCTTTTTCTGGCTATCCATCTATATCAAGTAGCTTGGCTGAGTTCGGTTTTGTACTGTATATGCTTTAATTTCATCATCCATGATGAAGCTTGATCTCATTAGGCAGGCTTGTGAATTACTTCATTCCAGAGTCTTCAGTCAACGAAAGAAAATAATTCAAGAGATTATATTCTGGTGGGCTTTTTTCCACCAAGTGGGGCATGCACGTTACATTATTTTTCTACAAAGTGGGGCATGCACGTTACATTGAGGTGTCCATGCATGGACTCGTAGTGGGTATTATTGAGCCTTACTTTTGACAAACTAAATAATAAATTATGCTGCTAGCTCTCGCCAAGTGGCAACACAAAAAATAATGGATTTGTCAACAGAATTAGATCCATGCTCGAGTCTGACGTTGACATATTTGTATACGTGTATATATTGTTAACCTTGTAAAATTCATACTATTTCAGCACAATTTTTTAGTTAGTATGTTTTTTGGTGAATTAATACATATTTAGAAGTATTTATGATAGGAAAATATGTTTAGTTGATATTTAGGCAAAAGTTATGGATTTTTAGTTAATCGTGAATATTTTGCCCCTATTTTATCAATATTGGCTTTCATAAATTGTTTTGTTTTGTTAGGTAGTTGAAACTTGTTATTGGGTTTATTTATGGAGCCATTTGAAGCAGATATCATTGCTCAGGAAGTTGGAATTTTATTTAGGAAGCTATTACATAATGCAAAAATCAAGTAAAGAAGAAACTAAAATAATGATTTATTGGCCTTAGCCAACAAAAAGACAGAGAGTCATTGGCCATAGCCAAGAAAAGTCATTGGCCATAGCCAAGAAAAATCTTCGTTATTCTTGGCTATAGCTAACGAAGATTATTAAAGGGAAAATTTCAATCAAGGACCACAGTAAAAAAATTATTTCAAACAGCTCTCAAAACATTCTGAAATGTGACTGCAAGACCAAAAGAGTAAACTGAAATTAATTTAGGAAAGAAAAAGACGTTTTTACCCCCTCAAAACTCTATGACCTGAAGCACTTACCCCACTCTCCAGAAACATTTGATAGCTCTAGCTCTTCTCTCTCGCACTCTCTAAAAAATCTGCCATTACGTTGAGAGAGATCATTCGCCATTGTCATTGTTCCAGTAAGGAGAGCATTTGCCGTCACTACTATTCTAGCATGGAGGTCAGTGCTGTTTTGGTAATAAAAGCCTTTGCTGTCATCATAGTCTCTCGCTCTCTCTCTACGCGTGACCTCTTTCACTACCTTTCCATTCAAATTTTTTTGCATATAATATTGTAAATCTTTCTCCATTTCTTCTATTGTAGATTTTATGGGTTTGGTTTGGGCTGTCGTGAAGTTCTAAATTAGCGAGAAATTTTTAGACTACTCAGATTTGAGATAAAATTATACAATTGGTTGATTTTAGATTCACACCGCTAAGTGTTGAAAGTAAGCCATTCAGCTCTTATCATGGATTGTATTATGAATTTGCAAATTCCACTTCTCTAGAAAAATGGTGATTTTGTGTGGTGAAAACTCATATTTTTGTTGTGAATTCGCAAATTCTTGTTATAAACGTATACTATATTTAATTATTAAAAATTAATTGAAATTAATACTTGAATGATGTGCAACAACATATTATATATGGCAAGTGGTAGTGGAAACCAATTATTTTGCTTCTTCCATGTGGGAGGCGAATCTGTGAAGACCTTAGAAAGTAAAATGATAGATGAAGTACTACACTGAAATTGGCTGGCAACTATGCAAATGTAAAATAAATTAATCTACTTGCAAATGGATGTATTTATATTGTTAATGGGCATATCCATTTTGCAAATATCCTAATTCTACTTTTGAGCTGTCACTCCCAGAGTTATGAACTGTTTTGTGCAACTCTATGAATGAAATAAATCTATTTGCAAGTAGACATGTATACATTGTCAATGTGCATATCCGTCTTGCAAATGTTCTAACTTCACTTGTAAATTGTTGGTCTCAAATTTGAAAATTATTTTGTTTAACTTTATGAATAAAATAATTCCATTTGTAAATGGACGTATTTATGCTATTAATAGGTGTATCTATGTTGCATATGTCCTGATCCTAATTGGGAACCATCGCTTTCAGACCTGTGAATTGCTCTGTTCAACTTTATGAATGAAATAAATCCACTTATGAATAGACGTATTTATGTTGTTAATGGGCGTAATCGTGTCACAAATCTTCTAATTCCACTTGTGAACTATTGCTCCTAAATTGTCGTGTTCATGAATTAAATAAATTCACTTGCAAATAGACAGATTCCAATTGTTAAGGGGCGTATCCGTGTTGCAAATTGCCTAATTCCACTTGTAAATAATCCCTGCATAGACTTGTGAATTATCATGTTCATCTTCTTCAATTCAACTAATTCACTTGCAAATAGATATATTCTTGTTGTTAATAAACGTATCTTGTTTGCAAATTTTCTAATTTCAATTGTCAATATGACAGCCATATTTACAAAACATGAAATTGTTAAGCAATGTATCATTGTTGCCAATTCCCTAATTTCATTTGTCAATAGCACATCGCATACTTATAAACTAGTAGGGATAAGTAGAAGATTAGAATTAATTGACATAAAACATACTCATAATATATGTCCCTTAAAATTGAAATTGCACAAATTCTCTATACACAAATTTGAACACATTCTAAAGTAGGTTAAATTATATCTTGGATAGAAATATAACAATCGCTATGTCATTGCCTTTTTTGTTGTTGTGTCTTTATCTGTGGAAATAGTTTCACAACAGTACTTGACTTTGTATTTTTTTTGTAAGTAATGAGCCACCACAACAACTCAGACTTTAGTATGGTGTGTTGTTTCTATGGCAAAAGGATAAAACCCATTAGTACATTCGCACAGGTGTAATAATAAAAACTCAAAATAATCAATGAACTCATAAACATTTAATTCTACTGTCGCTAGTCATATATAATATGTTGCTGCACATCATTCAAGTATTAATTTCTATCAATTTTTAATAATTAAACACAGTATACATTTATAATAGAAATTTACGAATTCACAACAAAAATATGAGTTTTCATAATACAAAATCACTATTTTTCTGGAGAAGTGGAATTTGCAAATTCATAATACAATTCACGATAAGAATTGAATGGCTTACTCTCAATACTCAACGGTGTGAATCTGAAATCAACCCACTATATAATTTTATCTCAAATCTGAGCAGTAAAAAAATTTCTTGCTGATTTAGAACTTCATGACAGCCTAAACCAAACCCATATAGGGTCCATTTGGATCAGTGATAGGAAAAGTAGCTTATTGAAAAAGTAGCTTCTAAAGAAGTGAAATTGGATAAAAGCTAAATTGGATAAGCTGAATTGTGTTTGGATTAGAGTTCAGAAAAGCTAGATTGCAAAAATGAGATTGGTAAAAGGTTGTTTGGATTATGATTGAGTAAAAGTAAGTTTGGTTGTAAAATGACCAAAATATATGAGTTTTAATAAATAATGAAACATGATTAAAAAAATAATTTCACATAATACAATGAAATTAAAATAATTTAATATGAAGAAGTCATAAAAAATATTTTAAATATAAAGTGAAACATAAAAAAATAAAAGTATATTTTTAGGAGCATATTTAAAAATAAAAATATATTTTTAACTTATTCATTACTTTCAACTAATTTTAACTGATTTTTTATTATCTACAAATTAGTTATTTGAGGCTTATAATAAGAACCAAAAGAGGTAATAAATTTCTTAACTTTTTCTCTCTTCATATTTCAAAAGCCATAAGCCATAAGCTATAAGTCATAAGCTGTTAATTTTAGCTTATAGCTTATTGTAGCTTTTCAGACAAAAGTCCGATTACAGAAAAGCTGATCCAAACAGACCTAATTGTGTCAATCGAGCTTATAGAGCTTATAGAGTTTATAAGCTACTTATAAGCTCAAAATAAGTGATGCCAAACAGGCACATAATCTATAATAGAAGAAATGGAGAAAGATTTGCAATATTATATGCAGAAATTTTTGAATGGAAAGGCAGTGAAAGAGGTCATGTATGGGGGGAGAGAGAGACTATGAGGACAACGAAGGCTCTTATCACCAAAATAGCACTGACCTCCATACTAGAAACGATGAAGGCTCTCCTTACCCAAACTATGAAGACAAAAAATGATCTCTCTCAACGCAATAGCGGATTTTTTAGAGAGTGTGAGAGCACTACAAAAAGACATGCTTTTAATGACGGAATTTAGGATGGAATTTTTAAATTAGCAATAGAATTAGTGACGGATTAGTGACAGAAACGGATTAGTGACGGAATTTGTTCCGTCGCTAATTCCTTTATCACTAATTGATTAGCGATGGGCTAATTATGACGGAATTTTTCCGTCGCTAATTCTTGACAGAAATTTCCGTCACAAATTAGCGATGGAATAACCTTATTTTTGAAAACAAAATTAAAATGCCATGTGGCACCTCTACTAATCACCATGTCATCACCAGTGACCACCTCCACGTGTACTACCATCTCACCTCTGCTTGCCATTTGTGCTGCCAACTCACCGTTGCCTGCCACATCACATGTCACTTTTGAACTCCTTTGTGCGCTCGTACAGCTTTACCAGCTGAGCTGCAATGAACCTGTTGACTTATTATGTAAAATTAAATATATATAATATTATTTTACACAAACAATTATATATATTATTAAAACTAAAAACATACTATATGATAATTTTAATCATAACTACTTTAATGAAAAAATAATTTTTACTATTTTTTTATAATATTTTTTTTTTTAAAAAATATTTTTAATATAATTTTAGTTTCTAACGACACTAATTTTGAATTTTAAATCATAAATAATTTTTTATAAATATTTTTAAATTTATTTTTAATTAACATTAATAATATATACAATTTAATTATATATGTATTATATTACATTATATTATATTATCTATATGTGTTTTATATGTTTGAAGAAAATCATTTACAATTAGTCAAAAAATCTTGTTATTCAAAAATAACTACTATAATAAAATCTAATAAATTATTCTATATAAAAAATTAAATGATTTGAATAGATTAAGATAAACAATATTCTCCTACTTGTATATATATCCTATGTAATTTATTTTCTTAAAATTCTTTGTACACACCATTTTTTTTATTGAAGACCAAAATCAATCTATATCATGGGTATTAATTATATCGTGATTAAATTTTATTATTTAATGATTGAAATTCAAAATCCACTTCAATATTAGTTTGCGTTCATATAAAATTTATTTTTTGGTTTTGAATTTCTATCATATATTATATATTTCAATATATTGTACATATGATAAAATTATTTCTTTCTTATATCAGTTTGTATAAGAAAGTTATTAATTTCTTATTATATTTTTAAATTATTATTAATATTTGAGAGGAATTTATTTAAACAAAATATAAATAAGTTTTCTAAGAAATTGTCTTTCTATTTTCAGTATATACATAATTATGACATGAATGATAATGATATCCTCATTAACACCAACTCCACAAATATATCAATTTATTTTATAATTAAAATGTTTTTAAATCATTATATTCTTAATTGTTATTATATAAATTTTTGTCATATTATAATTTAAAATAATGAAATTTAAAATTAGTGACGGATTAGCAACGGAATTGTGACGGAATAGAATTAGCGACAAAAACTTCTGTAACAAACAATTTAGCAACAAAAATTTCTGACGGAAAAAATTCCATCACTAAATATTTATTGACTGATTTTTAACGGATTAGTGACAGAATTTAGCGATAGACAGAAATTTCATCGCTAATCCGTCACTAATATTAGCGATGGAAAAATTCTGTCCCTAATCTGTCAAAAAAAAAATAGCAACAGAATTTGTTTCTGTCTCAAATTCTGTCAGAAATTAGCGACGAAACTTGTTTCCATCACAAATTCCGTCACTAATCAACTGTTTTTTTGTAGCGGAGAGAAGAGTTGGAGCTATTGAATGTTTCTAGAGAGAGGGGGAAAAGCTTCAGGTCACAAAGTTTTGAGGGGTAAAAATGTCTTTTCTTTTACTAAATTAATTTCAGTTTGCTCCTTTGGTCCAACAGTGGCATTTCAGAATATTTTGGGGGCTGTTTGAAATGACTGTCTTACTGAGGTCTTTGATTGAAATTTTCCCTTTATTAAAATTCTGCATTTTAAAGACAACATGCATCCTGCGACTCCATATGTTGTGTAAATCAAAGGGAAGCGATATTTTCACTCATTCCAGACCTCTTAGTCATCCGTAGGAGCTACTATGCTAAGGTTTTAGGTGCTTAAAGGCCTTGAAGCGAGAGATCGAGCTATGGAAGAGATTTGGAGCTCCTTCTTCTTGGTTTTTTTTTTTTTTTTTTGCTATTTATTCCTTTCCTCTTTTGTAATATGCTATGGCTATAATTTTCTCATGTATTTTTGGCTACTGGCTGACTATGAGTAGGTAAACAATTTGCTGTAAGATTATTTTGAACCTTTGTATAGATTGACTCTTGATTGTTTATCTCTATTTTTGATTAGTGACACATATATGTTTATTTTACTTTTTGCTTAATGCTTCTTATTGATTGCACCGATGAGATTATTAGGTTCTCTTGATTGATGCTTAAGAGGGTTAGATAAATTCTGTTTTATTAATTACAACAAGAGATTGAGCAATTAATGAAATTAAACACTTGTTGACTTGAGAAAAATTTTATGATTACTTTTTAAATCATTAGCACATATTTTCATTAAAAAAAACCTATGAAACGAGATAAATTGAAGATTATGATATACAAGGGATGAATAGTACTAAGTCCTTTTTATTCCTTAATTTAAAGAATCAATTATCTTCTTCAATTTCTACTTTTATCCCTAAAACAATCTAAACCTTTGAATGCACACTTAAACCTTGAAGAGCTACTATCATGGTATGCATCATTTCAATACTCTAAACATTTCAATACTTTAAGGTTGATCTTGGGCCCCAAGCTCAAAACAAACCCAAAAGCCCAAAATCCATGTCCATTAAAATTTTTAGCAGAACATTTTTCATGATATTAAAAATTGAACAAAATGTAGGTTTTAAAAATGGATGAAAGATTCAGCTAAAAAAATGGATGAAAGATTCATTAATAATTTATTCAATTAATTTCTTTTGACAGTTTTGAGCATAATCAAATAATTGACATGCACTGTAATTAATTAATTAATATATATAATCCAAAAATATATCAACCGGAATACCATAAGAAAAACAATGTTAATATATCAATAAAGTTCATAAATTTATCGGGAAAAAAAATGTCTTGAAACATCGTTTAATGTGGAATCTACAACATCAAAGAGTCTCTTTCATCCGGCTTTTTATAATGACTGATTTTCTAAACCGATAGTTCTAATGGAAGGTTGAGAAATCATGACAATAAGGCGGAAGGCGTACAAAACTTAGCAGATGCTCTACATTCTCGTTGTAGTAAAAGCTTCCATTCTTTTGGCCGCCTATTATCTCAAGAATCAACACACTATAACTAAAAACATCTAATTTACTAAAAATTGTCCACATTTTATATATTCTGGTACCATATATCTACGGCAAATCATTGCCATTAATATAATATAATCATCAATATATCTCTTGACAACTATATTAAACCTTCTTTGGTTTGGCATACATAACATTTATGTATTCATGCTATAATTTGATACTCACCATGTTTCTACTATTCTATTTGTATTGACTTGAGTGTGATCTGAGACAAATAATTGTACCATGTCAAAATCAGATATTTTAATTAAGATTCATTTTTGCATCTAAGAGAATGTTACTTGCCTTAAGATCATGATGAATAATTCATTGTTGAGATTTCTCATGAAGATAAAAAAGACCCTGAGCAAGGCCTTCTATTATTTTGTAGTGAGTTTCCCAACCTAATTGTAAACGTCTGGTAGGACCTATGCATGTTAATTTGAAATAAGGGAAAATTATCCATAGCTCTTAGGTAAAAAAAATTAAATATAAGGAGGTTCCAAGAACAAATTCATATTTCCAAGACAAACTCAACAATTTATATTTACAAGTTAAAGTTGTATATTTACATGTCAAATTGCATCATGCACAAATCAAACTTATATAACTTGTTAAAAATTGAATTTCACATGAACTCTTTACATTTAATCTTTTTTATCTGGATTTATGGATAATCTTCCCTTGAAATAACGTAGTTTAAAGTGCAGTGAGCATAACAAATCACGAATTCAGTCATGTAAGAAAGCAAGGAAGTAATGAATTTCTCATTCAAGACTTTCCAAATAAAAAGTAATCAAGACTTTATGAGGAAGAAACTCATATATTAATAGCCGCTCATTTTGTTTCAACCAAAAACCAATGAGTCTATCTAAATTTCGATGCAGAAGTTGGACCATTAATAACGCCTCATTCTTGAACTCAATATAGCCTTTGGCCAGAATTCCCAGACAATCTTTTCACTGCAGTTAATGTCTTGTCCATTGGAGAGCCTAACTTGAAGTCAACCAGGGCGCATCACTATTTAATGTTAGACAATACACACACGAACGGACCCTTCAACATGAGTTTTATTTCTCTCTTCACCCCGTAAACTTGTCCAAATCCGCCTTCTCATTTCATTTGAGAAGTTATCAGTACGTAGCAGCTTTGATGGTCTCAAGTGCACATTATATTGATTCAGCAAGTTCGATTGCACTGTCAACTTTCAGATTCATCTAGAAAATAGAATTTAAGCTAGTTCCTTATATAAAATTTAAATGGGCTTATAATTGTTCATAATGTATCAAGATTAACTTTTGCATGAGAGAATAAATGAAATAGAGAAAAAAAAGAGAGGAAAGTGTGACTCAATTCTTTCTCTTCTTTCTACTCCTTCCCAAGTAGGATCCTAATGAATAATGGATTTGAATTCCCAGATGTCCAGCAGGAAAAATGGAAGGCACAAGCATAAGAGAAAAGGTGAATCCCATCTCCAGAAGCTTCATAGTGACAACAACTTGCTTTGACATAGAACGTCAAGTAGGTCTCAGTGTCTCACTTTCCTTATTTTTTTTCTATCTCTTTTCAAAAGCTGCAAGAAATTTAACCATGTTTTGATTCACATTTATATGGTTTGCGATAACAGAATATGTAAACTTACTTTGATTATGTCTTCTCCGGTTCATTCTCGCTCGTACAACGATCCAAACAATATAAAGCAGCACAATAGAGGCAAGAATTGGCACAACTATAGGGACAACCTGTTAGTAATGTCTTGGTCTTTCCTGAAAAGAAGTTTCCATGAAAACATCCCCAAGTACATTAAATCTTGAAGCCTAATATGACATGCTGGTATCTTTGAAAATTTGCATCCTTTCCTTCCTTTCCTTCCATATATGGAAAGGGAAGCCCCACCAGAAAGTTATCGTTTGAGGAGACGAAGATTACAGAGAAACAGAGAGTTCAAAGCCGACTCAAAGAAGCAGAACCCAAAGCTTCTCCTATCTCTATATTCTTGTAAGTTGTCCATAAAAAAAGAGAATAAATTTTCACAAATTTTCAAATTACATCACAATTTCTCCATCAAACTTCATCACCTAGTGATGGGACCAAATTTTCTTAGAATAGTTTGACTGGTACGTACCTCCAGAGGCTGACGCTGGAAGAAGGTTTTGGCGAGCCATCAGTTGCGGGATCATAAAAGGGGTAATGTGATACTGCCTCCCTGGCATTCTCAATATGAGAGAATAAGAGACAGAAGATTCATAGCGGCTGTTAAATGGGACGGAGAATCGGATTCCGCCGTCTCTGATATCGAACAATCTGAGTACCATAGTTTCCCACTGCCCCCTTCTGATTTGGACACAACTTTGGGAGAAGAGTTGAGGCATTCTTGAGGCAACTACGGCATTCGTCTTGCTCAACCCGGCCTCTGCAGAGCCCAACCGCATTAACCCGTCAGCATTTTAGCCATGAGAGATATTGACGAAGCCATAGTTGCTGACTTTTGCGTTCGAATTGAGGCGCGAAAGAAGCATATGAAGGTTAGTTTGATACTTGCTTCTATGTGTAGTGACTTTTCAAATCGAAACAGTGGCTATGTTGGAAATCGTTAGGGTCGAAGGCGGTGAGAAAGGGGAGATGAGAAAGGAGAGAAACGAGGGTAAAAGAAATGATAGAAATTGCCGTATAGAGAGATGACAGGTGGGAAAAAAGTGAGCTTTCATGACAACTTCAATGGGGAAATGTGTAGTTGCTTCTCTGTTGCAGAATTTTCCCGGAGACTTGACAGGGATCGTCACCATCATTCACTGAATAGTTTCTCGGCAGTGAAGTTTCTTTGAGCATAGGGTGTCGAAGTTTCTACCTTCTTAATCATGTTTGCAGTCGTCTTCTTGCTCCGGCTTTCTGCAGAACACTTGTGGCGCAACGAATATACTGTTAAATTCAATGTATATGGTAAAGAAATAAAAAAAAAAGAAATTAATACAAGATAAAAAAAAAAAAAAAACACCAGGTAAGAAACGAAGTTGAGATTGGGGGATATTATTAGAAAAGAATGAAATAGAGAAGCGTATATCAAATCAACAATAAAAAGTTAAATCCTTCAGCTGTCAATTGGATATAGAGGAACCGCAAAAAAATTTAGACTAAGATATATTTTTAGTCTTTTAATTTTATACAAGATTTCAATTTAGCCTTAAAAAATAGTAAAGGAAATTTTGGTGCTAATATTTTGTTTAGATGAGATGAACTAACCAGCTTATTTTAGCTAGTACTATAACATCGGAGAACTCAATAACCATCGATAGTTTGTATGAGCACTTCATTGACTTTGGCAGATTCAAATGGCCTTCCAACAAACAATAAATCTTTACTAAACGTTTTCTATAACTCTGAATTGCTGGATAAATGGGATGCAGATAGCTTGTGGAACGAGTAACAATTGCCAGGTCTGTTGAAAAATAATGCTTGAAACAGGTGAGATTCTATTAAGCATAAGCATTCATACAAAAAGCGACAATTTCTGCAAGTCAACTATCAACTAACCTTGAATAATCAGAATCACTACTGTTTTTACCTGCATTGTTCTCGTGATATGAAATTCTCTACTTATGATAGGGAACTTTTGAATTAAAATACATTGCATCCTTTCCTGTTTATGCAATTCAAAACACTCTATCGTTCTCATTGGAAAAAAAATTAAAGCACTTAAAGCACTCGGTTATATTGGCAGCAATTATGATTGAGAGTGTCACCTCTACAAGTCAAATTACCGAGGATGTATATCAGTTATTGAGGCCTCGTTTACTGACAATGATTTTGCAGATTTACTATATCTGTAATTCCCGGATTGTCTGCCTGATAAACTTGTGTCATCCATAAAAAATGCAGGTTTCATGGGTTCTTGAAGTGAGAAAGAGTGGCTGCTGAGCATAAGCACAAGGGAAGCCATGGCTGGTCTTTCTGCAGCTTTTTCTTGAACACACAGTAAACCAATGTGAAGGCATCTCATTATTTCATTTCTTGAACCATCTTTTAACGTGGGATCTATAATATTAGAGGCCATCCCTTTCCTCCAGCTTTTCCACGCCTGCGACAAATTGCTCAATTTTGGTAAGTATTAGTTCGAAACTTCTAAGTTTCATGCGGACCAATAATGATTAATTTCCTAAACTCTTGAGAATTTCAAAGCCAAGGAGGAATAAATAGTGAAAAGGATCAAAACATACCAAACTTGGTAGATGCTCTACATCCTCCATATTATGAACCCCATTCTTCTGGCCACTCACCATTTCTAGAATCAGTACACCAAAACTGAAGACATCAGACTTTGCTGAGAATCTTCCATGCCCTACATACTCTGGTGCCATATACCCACTACATGTCAAAGTGATCAAATACCATATGTTACACTTCTCTTGACCATCATATTCAAGTTTTTCTTCTGTTTGGTGTATGACATTTAGAAACTAATTAGATATGATATGTTTTGGTACTTACTAGGTCCCCACAACTCTATTTGTATTGGCTTGAGTTTGATCACTAATAAATAGTCTTGCCATACCAAAATCTGAAATATGAGGATTCATCCTTTCATCTAAAAGAATGTTACTTGCTTTAAGATCACGATGAATAATTTGTTGTTGAGATTCTTCATGAAGATAAAGAAGGCCTCGGGCAATTCCTTCTATAATTTTGTAGCGTGTTTCCCATCTCAATTGTGCACGTCTAATTGGATCTATATCTCAATTCAAGACATAATCATATAAAGTAGAGTCAGGGTATTTGCTTATTTATACTTGTGACAAAGGGTAATGAATTTCATTTTCCATGTAGAAATAGAATGTCTAACTTACCAAATATAAAGTGATCAAGACTTCTATTATGAAGAAGCTCATACACTAGAAGCCGTTCCTTTTTTTTCAAACAAAACCCGAGGAGTCTAACCAAATTTCGGTGTCGAAGCCTGACCATTACTTGTACTTCATTCTTAAATTCAATGTCCCCTTGCCCAGAATCCATAGACAACCTTTTTACTGCAATCTCTTTTCCGCTGGAGAGCTTGCCCTGAAAGTTGGACAACAAGTATCAAAATTTGACCTTGTAATTTTGTGATTGTTACATGTCTACCTTGTAAACTGGTCCAAATCCTCCTTGTCCAAGCTTGTTTTGATCGGAGAAGTTATTCGTAGCAACTTTGATGGTGTCAAATTCGAACCGTATTGACTCAGTGACGTCAATTGAATCAACAGCTTCAATATCACCTGGGCAAAATATGTTTATAAGCCATTACCTTAGATGGTGTTTAATCAAAGATGCAAGTTCTATAGAACAAACGCCTTGAAAAAGCCACAAGAAATTTAATAAAATTTGACTTCGCTCAACATTGTCAGGCTGTTAGCAATATATCAACGTGTACTCACTTGGAAATTTTCTTCCTTGGTCTCTCACTCTTACACAAATCCAAACACAGAGAAGCAACACAACAAATGTAGAAGTTGGCACAACAATGGCAATGACAGTTTGTGATTTCTTTCCTGGAAAATAAAAATCCCCGTTCATTAAGAGAAATAATGGAAAAAAATGTTGATTTTGGAGGCTTACTTATTTGCTAAAAACCACCCGTTCCTCCCTGCTGGAATGTGAAATCTCAACAAAGGGGGAGTTTTGGTGGCTTAACTGCTAATGAAAGTACCTTCTGAGGATGTTGTATCTGCGTATGGAGGAGGTGATGAAGATGTTATGTTGGTGTATGGAAGTGATGGAGGTGTAAGCAGAGTACGGGGAGGGGGAGATGGTAGCGGCGACGGAGCTGATAAGGGTACATCAGCTGTAATTGCATAGAAGCGGTAACTTTCATATCTAAAGTTACAAATGGGTGTAATAACCCTACCACCTGGCCTGTCATTACAGCAATCTGGAATTTTTGAGATGGCCCAAAGCAAGCAGGTATTGCATTCTGACTCGTTCAAATTAGGTGTGCACTGAACAACAGCATATATATTTTGAAGGTCAGGTCCTTCTTCATTTCCTGCAGCAAACTTTACACTGGAGTCACCAGATGCAGCACTGCTACTTAGCTTTCGCAGCAAACCAGAAAGGACTTGATTATACTGATTCCAACTTTTCGCAGAGTTTACGTTCCACATGTAGAATGCATCAGTAGGAGGCACCCGCATGCCTAATATGGAAGTGTTTGAGTAATATAACATGCACTCATCGTACATCCCAAAAGCTTGCTTGTGATTTGGACATAGGTGTGGCAGCAGGACTGATGAATTGTTGAGGCAGCTACGGCAAAAATCTGGCATAACATCTCCCCTGCATAACCCAACAGCATACATTGTATTTGGGTAAATACCATAAGAGAGATTGTAGAAGCCATAATCTATTTGTTTGTCAGAAGCGAGATTTGATAAAAGGTATTGAGGTTGGTCTGGTAGGTGCTATTTGCTGTGTTGCTGCTGTTGCTGCAATAATAATCTCGAAATTCTGGTTGGCTGCTGGCTCCATATAATAATTGAGCGATAAGTACACAAAGAAATTGAAGCAATGCTAAATAAGCTCCGGCCATTGAACTGTGTCCGAGTATTATAGCATTCAGGGAAGTTTTAAAGTCTAAAGCCTTCAGCTCTGTTTCGTACATTTCTTATTTCGTTTCGCTTTATGAGGTTTTTGTTGTAAAAGACTCATCCCCAGAGTTGACTTGACTTAATTATGGGTAAATTTCAAAGGTAGCTTTATCGTCTTTGAAATTTGTCACGCGTAAATGGTCTTTTCTGATGCCAAGATACAATTTTTCTATGACTCTGTCTTACTGCTGCGCTAATCATCAGCATCATAACACACTTTTTCCAAGTCATAAATGTTATAATTTATTCTTCAAATCGAAATAAAGAATATTAAAACGAGGACAAAAAGCACCTATTTCTTGGTTCAACAATCTATCAATGGGTATTATTGACTACGATAGATTGACTTATGTCATTCTCTGTCATCCCTAAATTGCAGGTTGTGAAAGTGAATATTGAAATATGCAGGCTGCAGGGAACCTTCCCCACGTAATGACGTCTATAAGACAACAATATTGGTGCACCGTCAATAAATTTCTTCAACGAAGGGAAGGCATTTTCATATAAATTCTTATAAGTCAAGATCTTTCAGGCTCTGAAAAATGAATTTATATAATATATATTAATAAGGAACATATACAAATACAAAAATGACATATATATATTTCACAGACATTTCTATTTTTTTAGATGTACAAATATAGGGTTGGTAGCACAATATTGCAAATAAGACGGATTGGTAAAATTGAAAGATGAGTTTCAACGTAAGTAAATGAATGGATGAAGGTTCATAGTTCATACTGTCTTTTTCTTAATATAAAATCTATTTAATTAATTTAGGTAAATTAAGTAAACAAGTTAAATTAGTTATTTTAAAAAAATGTTATT